GATGTCATGGCCTGCAAATAGTCCAGATCTCAACCCAATTGAAAACCTGTGGTGAAAATTGAAAAAAATGGTCCATAAGAAGCTCCGACCTGCAAAGCTGATCTGGTAACTGCTATCAAAGAGAGTTGACACCAAATTGATGAAGAATACTGTTTGTCACTCATCAAGTCCATGCCTCAGAGACTGCAGCTGTTAGAAAAGACAAAGGTGGTGCAACTAAATACTAGTGATGTATTTTGAATGGTCTTTAGTTTATCTGTTTTTCATGATTCCACATTTTTTTCCTCAGAATTGAGTGATTCCATATATTTTTCCCCTGTGCTGGTCAATAAAAGTAACATTCACTGACTTCCACAATGTTTTTTCTTCATTTCTTTGAGTGTTCCTGAAAGCAACAAGTTGACCTTTGGAATGACCTTATTATTGTATCATGTTTTTGATCTGAGTTTGTTTTACAGAATGAAATGTCTGAATGAGTGCTCATCCAAGACTGGTGATTCCATACTTTTTGCAAGGGGTTGTACAGTGGGATGAGAAAGTTTGGGCAGCCTTGTTAATTCTCCTGATTTACTTTTATAAATCATTGATTGTTTGGATAAAAAAAAAACCATGATGGTGAAAAACCTTTGTTTTCAGCTCATTTGAAAGTTGTTTTCAGACTCCCATGCTGCCACTCTTCAGAGAAGATGCAAAGAGGATAAAAAGTTCAATTGACCCCCTTAAATACCCTTTCTCATAATTGGAGTTGCCTGTGTATGGAGGTCAAGGGTCACTGAACTTACCAAACCTAATTTAAGGTCCAATAATTAGTTCTAAAGCTTTTAAAATCAATAAAACAGCAACAGTGCCCAAATTGATGCACCTGCCAAATTTTGTTTAACCAATTATTGCACACTTTCTGTAAATCATATAAACTTCATTTCACTTCTCAAATATCACTGTTTGTCTCCTATATGATTCATTTTTTAAAATTGCCTGAAATATGTAAAAACAAACAATCATCATATTCTACTAAGGTGATAGTGCAAGGGCTAGGGTGGCTCACTGTGCCCCTCCCCCACAACTGAACGCCTCTGGTATTTTTATGTACCCTAGGGTCCACTCTTTCAGAAATGTATATTAACAGAAAAAAAGTTGGGTCTCACTGCACCCAGGGACCGCTTTTTGGCCACACCCCTTTTCTATTGTGACCATCAAAATTAGAGGGACAGGAAGCTTAACTGCCAATAACTTTCCTATAAACTAACCGAAATTTAAAAACAGGGTATCAGCAGATACGTATTGATTAGCCCTTCGATTTAAATGACTTTTTAATAAATTAATATACAAACAATGGTGTCATCGGGGTGTCAAATTGTCTCTTCCCCAACAAAATATGACAATTTTCATCTTTTTAGTTTGCGGGTTATGGTGGTTACCATGCACACCCCACTACTGAACGTCTCTGGTATTTTCATGTACCCTAGGGTCCACTCTTTGAAAAAAAAACAGGTTAACAGAAAAAACGTTGGGTCTCACTGCCCCCCAGGGAGTGCTTTGGCCACACCCCTTTTTCATAGTGACCATCAAAGTTAGGTACTGTATATACAGGAAACTTTACTGCCAATAACTTTGATAAAAAAAACAACCAAATTTTACAAACAAGGTATCAGCAGATTCATATTGGTTAGCTCTTTGATTTAAATTACATTTCATTAAACAAATGTGCAAATATGTCATCAGAGGGTCAAAACAACCCCAACAGAAGGTGAAAATTTTCATCTTTTATCTGAGTTTACCACACAGATCCTAAACATTCAACATTCTTAGCCTTTTCATGCACCTTAGGATCCACTTATTCAGAAAAAAAGTCTTGACAAAATAAAAGTTGTAGGTAACACTGCACACGGACCAGTTTTTGACCACACCCCTACTCATTGTGTGCACAGTTCAGAATTTTCAGGATGTCAAACTTACATGTAGATTCACTATGGCAGAATAAAATGTCATAAATCTGGTGTTAAATTATAGATATTGATGTGGTCTCTCGTTTAGATGTGCTTTTGTTGATTATTTATGGCAAAGTTATTGGCTGTTAAGTTTCCTGTACATATCTAACTTTGATGGTCACAGTGGAAAAGGGGTGTGGCCAAAGTGGTCTCTGGGGGGGCAGTGAAACCAAACTTTTTTTCTGTTAACATGCTTTTTTTGAAAGAGTGGACCATAGAGTACATGAAAATAGCAGATACGTTCAGTAGTGGGGCGTGCATGGTGACCCACCCTAACCCACAGACTAAAAACATGAAAATTTACATATTTTGTTGTGGAAGTGATATTTTGACCCCCGATGACATCATCGAGTGCTAATTTGTTTATTGAAAAGTCATTTAAAGGGAAGAGCTAATCAATATGAATCAGCTGATACCTTGTTTTTAGAGTTTGGTTGGTTTATAGCAAAGTTATTGGCATTTAAGTTTCCTGAATATACCTAACTTTGATGGTCAAAATGAAAAAGGGGTGTGGTCACAAAGTGGTCCCTGGGGTGCAGTGAGACCCAACTTTTTTTCTGTTAACATGCTTTTTTTTTTGAAAAAGTAGACCGTAGTGTACATGAAAACACCAGAGATGTTCAGTAGTGGGGTGTGCATGGTGACCCACCCTAACCTACAAACTAAAAAGATGAAAATTTTCATATTTTGTTGGGGTAGTGACATTTTGACCCCCCGAAGACATCACTGTTTGCATATTAATTTATTGAAAAGTCATTTAAATCGAAGAGCTAATCAATACGTATCTGCTGATATTTTGTTTTTAAATTTTGGTTGATTTATAACAAAGTTATTGGCAGTTAAGCTTCCTGTCCCCCTAATTTTGATGGTCACAATAGAAAAGGGGTGTGGCCAAAAAGGGGTCCCTGGGGGGCAGTGAGACCCA